ATCGTAATTCGTTTCCAGATAGACTGGATAAGATCAGTATGAAAAAATGCTTAACATATATGGCTTCACATATTGATAAATTAAACACAGAAAAAGCAACTATATCGTAAGTACTATTGTACATTTTATTCGAAACGAAGGAATTTCGATCCATCATACTCGAATATTTTAATAAAAGAGCTTAAAAGTAAATTTTATTTCTTTAAGTTACGATTGAAACTTGCTGGAACAATTAAGAAATCAATAATTAGTTAATAATTGATTAATCATATTGAAACGAGTACATTTTGAAATAAAAATAAAGAATATTTTATCTTCAATAAATGAAGTTGAAAGAAGAAAACTAATCTTGATTATTTTTTCATTATATATTTTGATAATGTAGTTCTGTGTACATTTTTGGTGGTATAAAAACAACATCTAACAGAAACACTATACAGAGTACAATTGAACAGTTAATTAAGGAAAACGATGGTCATGATTCATTCACATATAGCAATTTAATTAACAATATTAAATGGATGAATGCAATGATTAATTTAGGAACTGATTCACCAGGAATAACAGGTGAATGTAATATTATTATTCTAATGAATCATTATGATAATATCAATCAAATAATACTTTGCACAATATTGTTCAAAATTTTCAGATGGTTTAACTGAATTATTAATTGGAGTAATGGTATTGAATCTGATATCAGAAAAAATGCATTTCTCAATTCGAAATAATGGACTAAATAATCAAGGTATATTGAATGATTTTTACATAATGCATACGATTTGAGTATTCAATTGAAACTATTTGCATTTTCGACCACTGACAAGAGAAACAACTGAATAGAAAAGAAAAAAATTATCTTCAGAGATGAAATATTTTAAGAATTGACAGATAAAAAAAGTCACATACAGTTGGAACTAATTTTTAAAAGAATAACAAATATGAAAGCAAAAGATTTATATTTGAACATAAATCAGAACTTTAAGCCGAAAAATACATAAATCTATTGAAAAAATTCAATGTGAAACACATAAATGTAAAATTTATAATTTAAATTTTATATTTTCACATGTAAACGATGATTTCGTATGTTACACGATTCTTCTAAAATTAGATGCACGAGTGTAGGTTATTGCTACGGAAAAGAATCTGTTCCAAAATCTAGATGACTAACAGGGACTAAAATGATCATTAATGTTTAGCAAATTATGTGATAGTAATAGATTTATTCTTAATTAAATTTAATCAGATCAAAATATAATCACACATTCAATTTTAATAATATTTTTCGATAAAATAAAAAAGATTGTAAGCGATAGAAAGTATTACATTATTAATTTTGATTGGGCATTTAATTTAAATTGTTTCCAGTTGAATCAAATATTTTGGTAGTATTGAAGAACAAATACCTTGATTAAATAGTTTTGATTCTTGTTCTTTTAAGTTATCTAAATACTAAAAATTATGCAGTATTGATATCGAGGAAATTTTTCTTTTAAAAAATGATCTCACTGTGACTTACTTGTAATATAAGAGAAAATAATTCGATATATGTTTGAAGTACTGAAATGCCTTGAGAAGATTTTGATGTTTTTTCCTTTTGAGTTCAAAGCTTTAGCATATCAAAACCTTGTTCAATACCAACTTGGAAAATAGAATGATTCTGTCTAAAAAAGTTCTATATTTCATAAAAAAAAAGAAAAAAGAGACATAAAATACTACTCGACGCTTCTTTAGTGTTGGATGCATTTTTTAACAAAGATAAATATATATATACGTTTTTCGTCACTATAAAGTCTTTATTGAATTCTATTATAATCTATAGAATGAATACTGTATTTAATCATTCTTATTATTTCTTTTATTGCAGAAGATGCCGAACAAGTATATCAACATAATGCGATTTCCAGTTTCAAAACAAGCATGTTAAATACCAATGGGACTGAATTATTTGATGATGATGCAAAAAATCTTATCAAATATGTCACAGATATGGAAAAAGAAGTACAAGATAGAGATGATGAAGCAACGGAATTTGGGAACGAATACTACGATTTCAATGGTAAGAACACTATGACAATGAATCTTTATCATATGTATTTGCTTTTTACAGATTAATTCAAATGCTCATCGTTTAAATGTAATTGACATTGATACAGAAAAAAAATTAAAAAGAATAAAATTTCGGTAAGGCTTCAAAAATATGACGATCAAACATATAAGAATGAAAGATCATTATTTGCATTTAACCATAAACATGTTTTTAAGAAAAGTTTTATAAATAAAATAAACATTTAGAATAAAAATTTATTTTTATTGAACATAAAAACTAATGTTAGAATAATAGAATATAATAAAACAACATTAAAATATTATTAAAAACATTTGATTATTTAGTTTTTCATGTAGCTTTGAACCTAAATTTAATAGACAAAAAACATGTTATTTACATTTAATCTTATATTTAATTCAATATGTTCGTATTATAAAATCATTTGTAACCGATATTGACTAAAATACCATGCCTTTAAACAAAAAATGTATGACTAATAGGATATAACAAAATGAACAATAATAATTTATTTAAAAAAATAACCAGCCAATTCTGTTGATTCATCCATTATTATTGAAATATGTTATGCGGCATATCGTACAATTAATTTACTTAAGATTCAAATGAAAACGAAAGCAAAATGGTTTAATATCACAAGATGTTTCACTATTAAAAAACGATCGAGGATAAAAGAATAAACTAAAAAGAGAAAAGAAATCTTTAAGAATGAAATAGATCTTTTTTTCTCTCCGTACAAATATCATCCATGGATATGACATTCTTTTTCTGCTACTTGTGCACGGTATCAAACGTGAAATTTAATTACTTTTTCAAAACACGAAATGGTTGTTTCATGATAAAATCCATTTCTTTTTTATTCGATAAATTATTGTGTAAAAATTCTTTCTATTTGATTTTAATGTCAAACTTTTACTTTACTTATTAAAAACGTTCAATATTCATCCAATTACATACTTTTTTTTATTGCAATCTTTGAATTTTAATTTTGAAACGTAATTAATTCCAATATATTTAGAAAATTAATATATTGTTCTTCAACCTATAATTAAAAATCAGAAATTAAGTTGAATTTAACTCGTCAATCATAATACCTCAATTTTTATCCGTTTCTTGGTCAATTTACAAATTCAATATGGTTTTCTATTTGTTTTTATTACTATTATTCAACAATTCATGTCATAATTCACATAAAGCTTTGATATTCGATGATTAAATCATTAAATTGGATTAGAAAATAATCACAAGTTATATAATGAATTTGAATATCAACAAAAAAAAGAACGGCATAATCGCTTCAACACTATGAACATCGTAAACAAAAAGATGTACGAATTATAAAAAGAGTTTATATAAATGATATTTTACATGATAAATTAAACATTGATTTCTGTATGTGAACCAATAGTAAATTCTTTTTCATCAAATATAAGTGCTTATAGTCGCAAAGATCTTTTGTTGTTATCACAAATAGTTATTTTTTCTTTTAATTTTTTCATTTATTATTGTTTGATTTCGGTATAAAACGAGCTTCTGTATTGAATCGTACATTCATGGTTGTATTCGATCATCAAGTAGTTCGATGTTAATGACGAGAACAAATGTAACGATAACGTGTTATAATTGAATTATCAGTATCGTTTGATGATGTATTATGTGGCAGCCTATGAGAAATAAATTTAAATTTTATAGAACATTGGGAAATCTGTAATTTGATAGTTTGAAATAAAAGGTTGTTGTATTATCAATACGTTGAAGAATTTCAAGTTTCGATTATTCATTTATTTAACATAACAATTAAATCGGTTATTCTTCAACACTCATTGACATACTACAGATAAAATGTAATTTCATTGCTCCCAAGAAAACAAATCGTTTCTTTAATTTCAGATAATTGAAAAGAAATTTTTATACTCGCGATTTTTATGATAGATTTATTGACGATTATAAATTGTCAAAGTAATTTGTTTTATTTCTTAATAAATGAGGATTATAATAACCAATATCTTTATCTATTGAATTTTCATAAAGAGAAAATGACGAAAATACATTTATTAGTTAACTTATCCTGGCCAATAATCTCAATAGATCGAAAGATGGAGTGCATGGTTGTGATTTACAACAGATACAAGAAAATTGTGTACTAAAATGCTTGGGTTTAGTATGATCAAACATGTTTTTATGAATATCATTTCACCGTAATTTTCTTACGATTAACTATGATATATATATATATACGTGTATATGCATAAATGATATTTTCCATACAATTTTTTTAGTTTTCGTTTTTTTTTTGTAAATTGTTGATTAGCTGCTAATTCTTTAATTCGAATCAGCTTCTATTTGTTTCAATCAAAGTATTTCCCAATCTGAATAGACATCTTTTCTAAAATTAAAAAGAAACAAAACTGCTCTGAACGTTTTCTTTTATCCAATTAAAATCTCTCATATTTCGACCATTTTTTTTGAATACGTATATGAATGTCCTTTAAAAAATGTCCTTGAGAAAATGTCCCCGGGTTTCTATCCTCGGAAAAAATGTCCTTCGAAATTTTGTCCTTTAAAAAATGTCTTGAGGGTGAAATGTCTTCCCGAAAAATGTCCTCCGGAGAAAAGTCCCTCATATAAAAAATGTCCTTTACTTTAAGTCAAGTCTAATGTTAAAATGAATTTGGATCAAGATGCAGATGACGCTATAGTATGAAGATGTTGGTAGTTATATCACTTTCATAGAGGAAAGATTGAGAGCAGAATGAAGAAATAAAGAACGAAAAAAGTTAATAAAGAACAATTGAATATACTAGTACTAGGTTCACGAACCACCACGTTGCATACTTTTAAATGGCATCCCTTGATTCGATAATCAGTGATGAAACATCATTATCTTCGTCATCTTCTTTTTTAACAACATCAACTTCATCATCTCCACCATCATTTTTAATATCCACATCATCATCATTATTTTCATCATCTTCACCATCATCATCAACAACATCATCTTCGTCATCACCAACTTCGAAACCAGTATCATCATCATCATTTTTACCACCTAAACCATCCATCGTGAAAACAACATCGAATAAACGTAAAACAATGTTATACATTGAAGGATATCAATATCAGTTGAAAGATTATAATAAAAATAAAACGATTAAATTTTGGCGTTGTGCAAAAAGAGATTGTGGTGTTCTTTTACATACAAATCTCAATGATGAGTTTATACGTTATTCTGGAAAAAATATTAATCATAAACATCTTCCAAATCCTGCTGCATTAGAAATACGTGATCTTAAAGAAAAAATGCGACAAAGAGCTGAAACAGAATTAGTACCATTACAAGAAATTGCTGAACAAGAAGTTCGAAATGGTCTATTAACAGGTGATGCACTAGCTAATTTACCAAATATTTTTGAAATTGGTATAGTATAAAGACGTATGTGTGTGATAAATGTACTTAATGTTCTTTTTTCCTCTTTTTAGGTCGTGGTTTAAGTCATGTTCGGCAAAAAAATCTTCCTTCGATACCAAATTCATCTTCTTTTGTCATACCCGATAAGTACACAAGAGATTATCTTGATCGTGATCGTTTATTATTACATGATAGTACAGATCCACATTTTCAATTTGATTCATCAGATGATATACAACCATCAGGAAGAATTTTAATTTGGTCATCAGATATTCAACTTCATTTATTATTTAACAGTGAACGATTACATATGGATGGTACATTTTCCACTTCACCTCCACATTTTGCTCAAGTCTTTATTATACGAACAATACATCATGAATCTTGTAAGCTATATTTACGATACAAAACTACTTGGAAATAAAATTACTCATACTTATAAAATTATCTTTTATTTACGATAGGTGTGCCCGTCGTTTACGCACTTCTTCCTGATCGAAAAACACCAAGTTATTTATACTTATTCAACGTCTTATTTCATCACGCAAAAAGATTTAATAAAACATTAGATCCTGTGAATATAATGACAGATTTTGAACCAGGTCTTACAAAGGCAATTTCAATACAGGTACAATTTTAGTCGAAAATAACTATACTTTTGCTAATACAACTTTTTCTACTTTTTTAAATTGCAGTTCCCGGAGAAAACCATCCAAAAGGGATGTTTTTTTCATTTCTCTGAATCAGTTTATAGACATGTTCAATCACAAGGTTTATCATCTAGTTATCTGAATAATATTATGGTTCGAAATGTTATTAAACAAGCAATGGCATTAGCATTAGTGCCTCCATCACATGTTCAAGTATTATTTAATAAACTTGGTCAAGAATTAAATGATGATGAACGTGAAGAAATTTCAGGTTTATTACAATATTTCAAGAACCATTGGATGCGTCAAGTATCGATATGGAATGTTTATGAAATACCTGATCGAACAAATAATTATAGTGAAGGTTTTTTGAAAGCAAATAGTATTTTCTATTAATTATATTGCGATATTTCTAGGCTACAACAACAGATTTAAAAGACGTCTACAGAAAATTCACCCGAATATTTGGCATTTCATAGATTCAATTCGAGAAGAAGTTCATACTATTCATGATTTAATTCAACAAATTAACAGTGGGATGCCGCCTCGAACAAAAAGATCTCAAACAAGGACATCTGAACGACGCATCAAAGAACTTTATGATCGATTTAATCAAAACAAAATTACAGTACAAGAACTTTTACGTGGTCTTTCTTTTTATGTTGCAAATAAAAAATAAAATAAAAGTTAATTTATTATAATAAATCAAACACATAAGTGTAACCTTATCTTTAGTTTTGTTAATGTTTTACTAAAAAGACATTTTAATAATGAAGGACATTTTTTCAAGGAACTTTTCTGAAGAGGACCATTTTTAAAGGACATTTATAGTAAGGGACATTTATAGTAAAAGACATTTTTTCAAGGACAGAAACCCGGGGACATTTCCTCAAGGACAGTTTTTAAAGGACATTCACGGCTGTTACCATTTTTTTTATAGCCATCATCAAAGTCATATAAAACAATATACAAGCATCATATTCGTAGATAAATGTACAAAAGAATGTCCTTGACATTCAATATTTGATCGATCATAACATCAAGGATATTCTTTCGTTTTTTCTGTACTTAAATATACATATAATTCTCGTACGTATTGTCTTTAGACGACTTCGACGATTACTATAGAAATAGTCGAAATACATATAAGTTACTAAACTTTTTTGTCTTTTACTCACTATGATTTCGATTTTAATAACTTTAACAGAAATTCTACAGCTTGCTTACCAGGCTTCCTTGTATACTCGAAGATGCACAAAACAATAGATGATTTCATCTACGCAGGTGTCATAACAGTAACAGGTATACAATTCACAGAATGTCCTTCTGTGAATGAAAAAGATTACAATGAACTGATGCATTACCTAAATTAAAATTTTTGATTTCATCATCTATTGGTTTATCAATAACAGACAGCAATTTATTGCAATTTTTTTAAATTGAAAGGTTAGATTTTATCCGATTTCGTTCATCACTTGAACAATTCATAAAAAGAGATAATGTGTATTTTTCTATTATTCATAACGTACATATATTACCGTTCAAGATAGTTTTCAAGAATCTCCGCATCATACGGTTCGAAAAATCTTGAATAGTTTTAAAAATTAATAATGTGAATAATTCATAGTTTACTAGTAAGTTATGGCAAATGATTACAGTAAATATCTTAAAGCTCTAATTATGAACGAGATTTAAAAACATTCAAAATTTACACATCTTTGATGATCAATTATTTGAATAATTCAAATTTCAATTTTATCAATAAAAACTACTAACTATGTTGAATATTTTCCATAAGCAGAGCATATAAAGTATAATGAATTAAACTGAACAATATGAAATACACTTTTATGGAATTGAAAAGGCTGAATATTTACTGAATACTAGTCAATAAAGATTAATCGTGGAAAGTATAAAACGAATTGAAACTGAATTAATCACATGCATAGACCCCAAACAGTCAAGGAATTAATCGATATTAATTTTGTTTTAAGTCAATTGCCGTTCGCATTGGAAGAATGAATTAGTTATCAATGAAAGGGAAAGAAGAGCTCCTGCGATGTAACACAATGCATCGTTTACTGTAATAAGATATGGTAATATGTTCCTATTCTACGCGTACGTTTAACAACAGTTATGTTGACAAGTTTTACTAAGAATTAAAAATATATAAAATAACTATAGGCGATAAATTTATTTATTTGTTTGAAAGAGAACGATGTCGGTGATTAACATAAGATTATTCGGAACAGCTTTTTTTAAATTTATCTAAACGAAATCTATTTTAAATTAAACAATTAGTTATGAATAATTTATCACAACCACAGGAAATGAAAGACATTAGGAAATTATAGAAAATTGAAGAATGATAAGAATAATTTGTCAGAAAACTACATATATGCTAGGTCTCACACGCTTATTTTATCGGTGAGACGATATGATATCTCATTACAGAGCTCGAAAAGAAGCGAAGCGAGTCGAGATGAAAGGTGACACCTCGACTTTTTTTTTCAGAAATACACAGTTTTAGAACAGATACTGAAAATTGTCACTAATGTGATCTCAGTGAGCTCACTGAAGCACAGACTTCACTGGAAACTAGTAAATCTCCTTGTTAAAGACAATGATACACCATACTGTTTTTCCGGACAACTAAATCGATTACAGTCAGTATTTCTGTGTCATCAGGACTACGATGTACTTGACGATAGTGAAGTCAGTGCTGCAATGAATAACTGAATAGGATTTTGATGAACCATTTAGTGAAGCTGCACATCTCCAGACACCTCTATTGATAAATCTATTGTAAATAACCGAATACACATGTTAATTGTAAATTCTTATTCTCTGATTTTTATTCGTTTTTGTATTAATACAATTTCTCTTATTATCATCTAAAAAACTGTAACATAGACTGCTCAAAATGTCATAAATTTCAAATGGTCAGTACTGCAAAAGTACGTCGTAATCTAGATGAAGCGAAGTGAACTGAGGCAACGAAATATTATCCTATTTTCAGTTTTGTCTCATTAGTGTATTAATGTTAAATCATCTCGAATAGACGATTTATTTGTGTTTTATCGATTCTATTGATCTGATTGGTTTATTTAGTTTTATCTTTTTCGGTCTGTTCGAAGTCATAGCCATTGTTACGCAGAAACACTAATCATTTTGCTTGTTTCATTTTTCCTGTTTGACCGACTCTTTACACTTGACTTTTCTTGAAAGAATAGCTAAAAAATTAAACCCTAAGAACATTACAACCAATCCAATTACAGATTATTGTCAATTTGGACGGCAGATAGTTATGATGGAGAAAAAAGAGAATGTAATGAGAAACATCCATTCTTTCCTAGTTTTCTTCAATTAAAAAACAATGACTCTTACGTTTGAATCGTTACCAAACGAAATATGGCTTATTATTTTCAGTTATTTATCTTCACGACATACTTGGCGAACTTTTTTTGGTATCAATAAACGTTTAAATCAACTATTGACTTCGAACCTGATTCGTCATACTATCGATTTGAAAGACATATCTTATCCTGAAATAATTCAACTACTTGAAAATCATGATACAAAATCACATGGTTATCAATGGCAAGCAGAATTTGTTTCTCATGCGTATGCAATTTGTTTTGAAAATAATTTTGATTATGAAATATTAATTAATCGTTGGATTGCAACAAACACAAATTGGAATTTATCATCTTTAAGAACAATATACATTTTATCAGAAGCGATGAAAAAAATTGGTAAATTATCTCATGAACTCAAATTTATAAAAGTTCTCCATCCACAACTCCATTATCTTCATCTTGTTTTTGATCAACCACGTTCTACTTATCATTCTGCTTTGTCGAACCTAGTGAAAGAACGTATTTCATGTCCAATTATGATATTAGAAGTAACTAGAGGTGCGTATGTCAAAACTATAATCATCACGAAACACTGTCTTTTAGATAAAGTTTACCAAAAATTGATTAGTTTTATGTTTCAATTCTTTGATTAACAATAATCAGTCTTAACCTTGATAAATCTACTTATAGGACATACATATCAAGATTGGAAGTATGACGATTTATACGATATAAAACATTCACTATGTTGGATACGCACTGTTAATTTGACTATTAGTTTACAACATTCATCGGAGCTTATTCTTCTCTTAACGCCCAAATCTTTACCATTACTTGAACATTTGAATGTAATTATCGAACAGCCACGGGAAGATTTAATAACTAGAGAAAAACAACCTATAAAATCTATTCATTTATCCGAAAAGGATCTTCATTATGCTAATGCTGATGGAACAAAATTTCGATCATTTGTACTACGTCAAATGCAGCTCAAGGATCTTTTGATTTTATTCAACACACTCACTTTTCCTCTTCTTGAAACACTTATATTGGTTGATATATTTGATAAATGTAAGTGCAATGAACTAACTACTATGACCAGAAGGCCTTCAAATATTAATCATTTCTATAATAATGATTAAAGTTCCCGCTTGAAAAAACAGTTGTTGTCAGAAAGTTCAAAATTGAGATGCATAAATGAGGAGATAGCTTGTTTTCTGCTATCGTGAATGAGAACAATTGTTCATTGATAGCTGACTTTTGTTAAAAAAATCTTTGAAATTTTCTAAAGTATATTATTCGAAAAATAAGTAGTTTTTCAATTCTTCTCGATTTAGGTTCTGTTAATATATCGGTGTTTTTATTATAAAGAGCGCATCAAGATGCAGGGCATAATAGAACTTTCTCTTGTTCAGCTTTGTCAATGTAGTTAGACACTAATTTTTGGCACGTTTTCTTGAGTCATTAAACTCTTTCTCTGTTAATAAAAGAAAGAATTTAAAAAAAGAGTCTGACGTGAACGGACTATTCGAATATTTCTTCGTCAAGATGGATTTTTCAAGCATCCGAGTCTATACTTTTTATGCTCCCTATTCTTGAATATTTATTATCTATTTGAAATAAAAAAAAATAATATAGGAATTTTTATTTAGCCCTAGATAATTTATTATATTTTCAGCAATTAATTGGTTCTTTAAATTTACCTTCTCTTAAACGAAATCAATTTCAATTTTTATTTCGATTTCCTACTAAATATGAACATGAATGGATTCAAAGATATTTTAATAATGGATGGCCATTTAATAATGTTGGATTTCATGTGGATAAACGTATTGTACAACAGAGTAATTATTCATCTCTATTAGATTTTATTGAAGATGCATTTTTTATCTACTCTATTCCTTTTGATGTATTGAAATATATGCGCACCATACACAACTATGAATTGTTCACTCGTCATTCAACAACAATTCGAAAAAACTTCATATGTCAAAACATGGAATGGTTATGCCAATGGACAAACAATGAAATTCAATTAATTAAAAGTCTTCAAACAGTGAGAAACGTTAAGAGACTTCATTGCCACTTTTTCGGCATAAATGTAAGTCATCGATCATGAGAGCATATCAATTTCGTCATAAATAATGTTTATTTATATATAGGATTTAGTTTTCATTTTAATACTAGAAGTTTTAAACTGAAAAAAAAATGCAAGAAATAACTAGATTATGTATCCTTTCAATTTTTAGAATCAAGTAGAAATTGGCATAACTCCAACAGATATCAATCTATGTTATTATCTTCGTTCGTTGACATTTCAATTATCATATGTTTCACTCGATTGTTCAGTACACAATTCACTATTACAATTAATTCTGGATCTATCACCTCATCTTTTCTATCTCCATGTAAGATGGAAATATCTTTCTCACTGTTCTGGAAGATATCCAATGATTAAACATGTTCATCTTACCCTTGGAAGAGATGGTGCACATTTCGATGCAATTCAATTCAATCGAATCATACCCAAAGTGCATTATCTTAGTTTTAGTGGACAAGAATTAGTACGAGAAAAACAAATGGTTAATTTTGTATGCGAGTTACTGGTTGATAAAGGTCATTTTTGTGAATTATTATTATTACAAATAAATAAAAATGGTAATTTCACACTAAAACCATGTGTCAAAGAAAATATTAAACAAGCAATTGTAGCAAAGATTAACCGTCTAAAGGATTCAACTACGATTCAAATTGAATTTTCTTATCGCAATCAACTGAGTATTTGGCTTTAATAAGAAACTAATTCATTATTATGTTTTTCGTTTAATCGTGTCGTCTATTTTTCTTGTGAAAATTAATCAATATCACATAATTATATGTTACGTCTGTTATTAAGCCAATATTTTTGAAGTTGTTTTATCTTGGTCATATCACTATTTAAAAAATATCTCGAATATCTGCTTTTGTGTCTGAAATAAAAATTATTTCTTAATGAACTTATTATTTTGTTTTC